TCGGTGACTGGCCGCCTGCCTATTTGGGCTGAGACCCTTGAGGCCAACCAATCCGGGGAAGGGTTTGATGACAGCCAGGCGATGCGCTAATGTGCTGGCTGGGGGTCAGGGAGTGGTGGCACGGGGGATAGCTCCGGATTCGGCTCCGGCTTTCGTCCGTAAACAGTCCCCGGCACGCATGGGAGGCCGTTCGTTGCTGATGATTGTTTGATGCTGCTGCTGCTGCTGCTGCTGCTGTTAATTTAATACTGTGCTGCGACTGTGCTGTTAGTAGTTTAGTACTTAGACTATTTAGTACTGTTCATCCTGTCAGTCAATTCTGTCAATTCTGTCATATAATATTCCGCTATTCGGCTATTCTGGCTATTCCGAATTATTCTTATTTGAAAATTGAAAATTATTTGAAATTATTTGATTCCGAATTTATTATCTGGTCCTTAACTTTACTGAACTGGATTCATACTTGATTCGTTCACCATGGGAGCATGGAAGACCATCACTGATAGTCGGCTCGTTGTGAATTCGGCCGCCCATCAGCCACATGAAGGCCACATCGGTTTGAGCAGGGTTGGGGTCCGGGCCGGGTTAGTTAGGGTTCAGGATTCAAGGTCCAGGTAGGATAGGGTGGCGTGCGGTAGCGGGGTCACGTATTGTGTGTCTTTGTTTTGTATCTGTATCTGTATCAACTGTATCAATGTATCAATGTCAGTACGTCTGCTTAACGGTCTCTGTCTCGTCTCTGTACGTACACTGTTACACGGTGACAGACAGAGTTACCGAGTTACACAGTGTCAGTGTCACATCATGTCACAATGCTACACATGTCACGCCGATGTCCTGTCTGTCACTGTCTGTCAGTTTCTTATGTGTGGGTGTACACGCTGGCAGGAGCTTCGAGGCCTCATTATCCAGAACGACGATGAGCTGTTGGTTGCTGTGAGAGACGGCAAGAAACGCGCTCGGATCGGGAACAAGCAGAGTATCGGGCATTCCAAGGCGGCGGCAACCTAGTTCATATTTTTTCGAGAAGTTCTAAATCAATTATATTAATTAATTATATTCACAATTATAAATTATAAATACATATAAAAATAAATAACTTTTAAATAACTATAGACTATAGACTATAGACTATTAGACTATGTAATTTCTAAATTCTAAAATTATCAATTCATAGGTTGATTCATAAAAATATAGACAGAGTGACAGTGTACAACTCTAGTATCTGTTTTAAAATAGAACATGGCCACTCTAGCTGGCAGCTGGCTGTAATGGGCTAACTCAGTTTGTAAAGCTGGTTTTAAACTAATGATTACTAATGATAATAGCGCCGAGACGAGACTATCAGACTACGTCTAGTCTGTTTAGTCTGGTCTATACGGTCTACAGTCTTTAGTCTATACTGTACATCGTAAAATATTAAACTTCTTCAGGGTGCCCCACCGTGTGAGTAGTCGGTTGAGAGAATCAGGGCCCTAAGGACTAAGGATTGATTGATGTGATGTAACTTGCTAAACTTTCGGTTTCGGTTTGACTCAGGGTCTGCCCCGCCCATGTCAGGTCATGACGTTCGATACGAAAGGTGCTGCAACGGCAAGCTACAAGGGTGAGAGCAAGGAGATCCAAGATATCAAATCGCGGATGCCGACAAGAGGGCAGATGGAGCAGAACAGGATGCGTTACTCGGGCAAGGTCGGGGGAGATGCAGACTCAACCTGCCCCGAGAAGTCGGGGAGTGAAGATGAAGACATGGGCTTTTTCTCCTTCCGCCACTCGAGATCCGGGTCCTCCCGAGAGGACGCGAATTCCAGAAGCCGATCCTTGAGAAGATCCTTTCAGATGCCTGGGCATCGGGGGAGGTCTCGCAGCAAGTCGCTTGACAGAGAGTCCTCCATGGACATCCGGTCCAGGTCGCGGTCGCAGGCTTTGGAGTCTCGTCGTAGCCCGGCTGAGGATTTCCAAGAGCAGGATCTGGAAGGGTTGACTCAACCTGATCCTGTTGAGGAACCGGTGGCGGCGGCGGAGAAAGAGGTGCCCAAGCAGCCCAGTGGCAAGGGCAAGGGTAGGGGCAAGGCGAAGGCAGCGGCGAACAAGGGTTCTTCGCGGATTCAGAAGATTGTGAACAAGGCCCAGCAGTTGTTCGACTCTAAGCAGACGCAGCTTTCGGACAACAATTTGTGGTCGGCGAAGACAAAGACGAGAATGGTCCAGCAAGGGGCACAGGCTCTGGAGGACACAGCTGCCAATCTCATGCCGCACGGGGAGGATGATGAGTCTGCGAAGCAGCTTATTGGTGATATGCTAGCCTTTGCGGAGGCCGCGAAGAAGAAGTATGAGCTGTTCTCGCGGCTCAGAGCAGGCTTGGCAACTTGGCCAGACTCGGACCTGTCGTTGACTCAAGAGGACCGGGAATATTAATACTTAACTTAAGTTACTTAATATAATAAATAAACAATTTTAAATTCTAAATAATATGTAAATAATACATAAATAATTTTTATGGATGTCGTTGTTGTGTTGCACTGCATCACTGATTCTTGCACTGCACACACATGAGCCGCGTGAGAGTTCTCCTGTGGCGCCTGTGCATCCATCCCTGCCTTGCCTTGCCGGATCAGATAGGAACACTTCCTAGGTAGCATCTGCACCCGAGCTTGGGTTTGTGCCAGATTCGTGGTATCACACGGTATCACAGCCCATGGCTGGGAATGGGCTGCCTGTCGCCGATGTGGTGTACATCCATGCCCGCTCGGTGCGGGATGTGACGGTTCTGATGAACCCAGTGTTCAACATCTTCGTTCTTGGCGATGATCCACGATGGCCGCCGTCCCCTCCAGCCACGGTTGAGCCACGGCCAGAAGATGAGCGTCACTGCAGCAGTTCAGATGAACCCGACAGCGATGGCGAATCTCCACCGGGCAGTGACAGTGATGATCACCTAGAGAGGCACCAGAAGAAGCGCAAGAAAACCAAGAAGGACAAGAAGTTAAAGAAGGACAAGAAGAAGACGGTGAGAGCACCCAAGAAGCAGCACCAAGGCGGAGAGGGCACTCGTCAGCGATGGCACCGTTCCTTCAAGGCGACTTTGAGCTGTGGTGTGCATATCGACATCGGCGACCCCCGTGACATCGATGATGATGAAGTCGAGTGAAAGGGGGGTCATCAAAACAGATGGCTGAGATGATCAGGGGATGCTTGCTATTGGCCAGTCGGTTTTGATATCGCTCGCACGCAGGTAGGAATTTTAACCTGGTAGATGGTAACGTAACTGTAATTTGAAATGGCTGGGGCCATTGGCATTCGGGTTCACGGTTTGAGTTTGAGTCGATGTTTGATGTTTGGGCGGTTAGGACTACGGCTAGGGTGTTTGTGTTGTAGTAGGATTCAGAGGATTCAATATCATTATTCTTCTTCAGTATCATCAGTGATCATCAGTGTGTATCAGTATGTAACGTATGTATGTAACATGTAATATATGATTCCGTAAGTTTTGACTATGTGACTGACTGAGCTAAACTGTGGGCGAGTCAAGCGACATAGACTAGACATGCTGTGTGGCCTTGCTGCCAGGGCATGTTGACGTGCTGCGTGGCCTTTGAGCCAAGGCACGTATGTGGGTCGGGGTGATATGCTGCTTGCCGCCAACTCGATATGCGCTGCAGTGGCATCATTCATTGTTTAATTTAATTTAGTCCGATGAAGTCCGATGGTTTCAACCAATGTTTTCATCTCTTGACTACTGGAAGGTGCAGCTGCGAGGGCTAAGCACATCTGGTGATTTAAATGATCTCCCGAGAAGCGAGCACCCCAAACCATGAAGGAGCGCAGCCTGTTGGTCAGCCTCGCCCCCTCGATGGTGGCTGACATTTTGGTGAGCAACACCAGGGAGGTGCTGAAAGGATTGGAGAAGGAGCCAGCCTATTCGCATGTTGTGTGAAATTGGAAGAAGTAGAAGCAGTAGAAGAAACATTGTCAGTCAGCATTGAGTCAGCATAGTCGTACCGTAGTATTTGAGTGGAGTCGATAGAGTTGATTGAATTATAGACCGACTGATAATCTGATAATCTGATTGATAGATTTAGAGTGTGCGACTTCATTGCAGGATGAAGGGTCCAGCTACGCTTTTTTCCGGGTGCTGGCGAACGACATGACGGAGCCAGCGGCGATCAACATGTCCATCTATGCGGACAGCTTCAGGAACAAGAGCACTGCACCGGGAACGGCCCGTGCTGTTGGGAGTCTCCAGCAGCAGCTCCTGAACATGTTCTGGGACCGGCTCTTCCGCATCAAGGATGTTGCGTGTGTGAGGGCGCAGATGGAATCGCGGCTCGGCGCGTCCTGAAATGATATGATGCTTCTATAATTCTGTGGTTGATATGATTCTAAGTTCTAAGAAATTCTATGAGTCTATGATGCAATGATGATGTGATCTCGACAATATCGATATCTGATATCGATATCGATATCATTGATATTGATATCATATCATATCATTGACAATCGGTGTTTGATGTTACGATTGATAACCCAACTGAGGTTGCCAGTCTCAACACTGGACCTGCCCAAGCTGCCTGCCAACTATGAGCCGGATGCGGTAGTCATGCAGGGTGACGCGAAGTACTGTGCAATGGTCATGTTCGAGATAGAGGTTGTACGAAGCATGACGGTCCCCTTCGCGGAGGAGAGCGCCGCATTGTGGCTTTAGACTGTTGTTCATGGACAATAGGTTATTAATAAGTTTCAGTCTAAGTCTAAATTTGTTAAAGTTAAAAATCAACTCAAATCTGATTCTGAATCTGAATCAGATTATCAGATTAAGATTCGGATAAATGATCGCAGCTTTGGGGTCAGGATGGTTCCGGTGGATCCCAGCGAGACAACTTGCGGGCGAAGTCGTGTGTTCAAAACAAGGAAAAGTTGGGCGAGAAGATGCGCAGCTACCTGAGGGTTGGGATTGCAAAGCCGCTCATCTGTCCTAGCCTAGCCGCATTCCAGTCCTAGAGCCCTGTAGTCTGCCTAGTCTAATAATAATAATAATTTAATTTGATAATATAATAGAATAGTTGGTCAATAGTTGTAAGTTGTAAGTTGTGCATTTTCTTGGTGTCAGGAAGCTGTGGTCTGCCGTGGTCAATGCATCGAAGAGATGCCTGTCCATGGAGAGCATTCTCCAGCGGTGTGCTTCGGCGACACAAGTCGCAACAAAGGCCAAGGATGCGATCACCGACGTCGCAGCCTTCTTGGAGTGGGCCAGCAACGAATCTCTTGTGGACGAGCTGCTAGCTGTGAGGACCTCTTTGGAGAGTGCCGAAGAGATGATGGCTGAAGCAGATGTGCCAGCAGACTTGCGTAACGCCAACAGTGTGGTTGCCGAGCTTGTGAACAGTTTCGGGAACAATGCCATCGAGCTGTATGCCGAGACGGTGGTTGATGCGGCCCCATGTACTGCGGACGCGGTGCAGGCTCGCAAGAACGTGATCGAGGGTCGGCCGCTTTTTCTAGGACTGTGGAAGCTGATGCGGTCGTATGACACCAATGCCAAGGCCGGTTGAGTTACTTCAAATATTTTATATATTATTTAAATTAATTTATTTAGATTTGAGTTATTACTATACTATTACATTATGATTCAGATTATAGTTTTACTTTGATATTATTATTATTGATATTTGATATTAGTATAAATTAATAAATAATTATATTCTTTAGATTTACATTATTTTTATTTTTGTTTTAGATTATGAATCTACAGTTTATTTAATTTGTTTATCTCAATTTGTCAATTTGTATCAATCAATAATAATAATAATTTAATAATAATAATAATAGTAATAATTGTCAATAATGTAATGTAATCCTAGGTAATCCTGACGTTTGCGTTTACAAGCCGAGCAGGCTTGGATGGATGTCAACGAGAATCTGGCCAAGTGCTATGCCTCCGCGACCAGTGAGGTGATGCAGCTCCTCTCGAATGTCGCCGCAGTCGAGCATTCGCTGGATGCAGCTTCCTTTAAGGCTGCTGCTACAAGTGTTCACAAGATCCAGCAGAGCAAGGCCCAGCAGGTAGTTTGCGCTGCCACACAGAGCCCGGACAGCCTTTCGGCAAATATGGCCCCATAATTCAAGTGTTGCCACAGTTTCTGTAGTACTTCATAAATTCACTAATTACTAATAATTTTCGTGTTTCATGATTCATCCCGTTGAGGCGAGCAGCAGGGCGACATGGAGCAGGAGAAGGTCGACGTGCCATCATGCCTGCAGATCCTTGCGACGAAGATGTTTGCCACAATCGCCGCACTTAAAGATCGACCCGCTGAGTGGTTCAAGGCCCTGGTGCGGGCTCAGAAGCATGGTGAGATCTTGGGATGGGACGCATCGACTCGGTCCCAGCTAGGGTTTGCAGTGGAGAAGTTGGTGCGTGGCTTTGTGCTTGTGGATGATTTCCTTGGCAAGAAGAAGAGTGTGCCCTTCGCAGAAAATAAGTGGTACACGAAAGCTTCGGTCAGGGAATCTGCAACAGCAATCTCCGACCTGAGTGCTCTCGCAGCCGAGAATTCCGAAGCCAATGAGCTGCCTGGTGTGCAAGACGCCTTGACGGCTTTGACGGCTCGTGCAACCGGAACAGTGGAGTCGTTGGTGCATGATATGCGCAAAATCAAGGATGACATCCGTGCAGTCTATGACGACACATGTGCATTGGTGAAGGATGTCGACGGCATGGATGAGGACAGCAGTGACTTCCCTGAGACGCTGAGGGCCATAGTCGACAAGTACAACCAAAGCGGCAGCCCCATGCAGGACTGTACGAGAGGCTAGGCAAACCGCAAAATTGACCCTACCGTACCCTAAAACCCCCCTAGATCCCTAAACCCTAACCCAAAAGCCGCTTCAAAAGCCTAAAAGCCGAAAAGTTGCTTAAAAGCCTTAAACTTAAACTTAAACTAAAAGCCACAAAAACCGCTAACACCCCGAACCCTGTAGGGCTTTAGGGGGTTTAGGAATTGGGAGGGTTTCAGTTTTAGTTTTGGGCCTCGGATTCGGAGGTGCAGGGTTTCGTGTGTTAGCTGACCATACCATACCTAATACCACACAACCAGCCCCGTACCACCCGCCCCCCCCCCCCCAACAACACACCCACCCCACAGCCCCTTCAGGTGCATTGGAACTCAAGAAGCTGGAGGATGTTGCCGAGGCGTTTCGGACTTGGTCAAAAGACTTCCCGGAGTGTGTGACGGCGGTGATCAAGCATTTGTCGGAGCAGCTGTCAGCAGCCCCTACATCATCGCAGGCTTTGTGTGGGGTCTACCAGACCATGGCTATGGAGATCGTCGTGAGGGCATCGGCCGTGCCAGCAGAAGACACAGAGGAAGCCGCGGTGACGGTGGATCAGGTGCAGAAGGATGCGCAAGGCCTCGGGAAATTCATGTCCGGCCAGTTGATGCTTTCGAAGAAGGAGATCGCGGGGAAGATTCAGTTTCGCCTTGAAAAGGTCATCAAGTCTGGGAAGGACGGGGTGTAAGTGCACATATATTCACTGCATATTTATGACAGTCTCGAGAGTCTCGTGTGATTCTTAGTGCAGTGATAAAGGGATGGCGTGATTCTTATCGACTACAACTACAACTACGGCTATTGACTACGGTTAGTTAGAGTAAGTTAGTAGTAGTCAGTAGTAGTAGTAGTAGTAGTAGTAGTAGTAGTATTAGTATTAGTATTAGTATTGTACTATTACTAAGACTATTACTACTATTACTCTATGTCTATTACTATTACTATTACTATTACTATTACTGACTATTACTGCTTTGCTCCAGGATGCCAAGACGGGTGGCAAGGGCAAGAACAAGGGTGCCATGCCGCCCCCGGCTACCACGCCGACGAGGCGCGGGCGAAAGAGCAAGCCGTGAAAATCACGGCAATCAGTGCTTGCAAAGCACCCTGAGTGCATGTTTCCGAGCTGGATTTATGCATGAGCTGAAGTGGTCAGCCTGTCCGGATGATTCAGTAACATGACTCGACGTAGGTACGATAGTATACTAAATATTTTTTCAACTGCTTCATGATTCGAGTTCGCACTTCCGAGCTTTGGCGGTGCTGTATGTGGTTTTGCCACTGCCAGATCTGGGAACGGCAAGGCGGAAAGTCCGTCTTCCACTCCGGACAGTCAGTACGTTGTTCATCGTTCGTGCCGAAACTGCTCAGATTGCACAGGCTCGCCGAAGTTGGCACAGCAGAGCCTAGCCCACTAGTCGTAGTACTCAGTGCTGTCAGTGCTGTAAAGTCTGTAAAGTCGTCCGTAAAGTGCTGTAGTTTACGTGTTACGGTGCATGGCTTTCGAGTCTTAGGGAGCAGCTAGTGAGTTTGTAGTTTCGTGGCAGTTGCCCCAGAAGTCCCAGAAGGCATGTGGCGGCATGTGGGCCAGGGTGCTATAGCACTTCGAACTGGGCATTTTGCCAACCTTGAATGAACCGGGTTGTGGCTTGTACAGGTGCAGTTTAGCCAATAATCTGGTTGTGCCACCGATCTAGACGGTAGCAGTCATACCTTCCGTTCCAGGATCATGAAGAGCTTGCCGAGAAGAAAATGCAGCAGCATCGTATTGTGGGTAGTCCTCAAGCCTCAAGCCGCAAGCCTCAAACAGTAGTGTTAGTAGTGTCAGCGTCGTATCGCCGAGGTTTTCTGGGGGGCCAAAAGGCCCAAGCAAAATCCGACAGGATTTTGATTCTCGCCGGAGGCAGTTGGGTTTGGACGACATGGTGCTTTATCGAAAGAGACCTTGATGCAAACATTCGTGGGTAGGTATTCCAATATTCCGGGATTCTGGGGTGTCGGCATCTTAGGTATTCTACCTGGTGCCGCAGCACGTTTGGAAAGGAGTGGTGTGCTGGAATGAATGCGCGCGAAATCGAACAGCTGGACGTGTTGTACCACACATTGACATCATCGACATCTGAGTCTGTGTGGGTCTCAATACGTGACATTAGTGGTTTCGGCTTCGGTAGATGCAATAGACTGATTATTGACATTGGCCTTCCTTGATGATTGATGGGCTGATGGGCCATACCATACCATACTGGCCATACTGCGGCCATACTAGGGTTTGCTTACGACCCAGGGTTCGTTTAGGGTCCTAATTTAGGGTTGTTTAGGGTTTAGGGTTCGTTTAGGGTTTAGGGTTCGTTGAGGGTTTAGGGTGTAGGCGAGGTTTGAAGAACGGTCTATGACTATGGTCACTCGATGGTCTATTAATTGTTTTTTTTGTCTCAGTCTGAATCCCTGAGGCTGACTGGAACCTCAGCGACGTGTCTGTCGACATTTCGAAATCCATGAGCAGAGAATCGTGGAGATTCCATGGTGTCCTGCCAACGCACCCTGGGTGTGTCGATAGTTTGAGATTGTCAGAGATTGAGATTGTTGTTATTTCTCATTGTTCTAACAGCATAGCCGTAGCATAGCTGAGGTTGACGACCAATTCTAAGATTTATGATTTTGGACAACACCAGCTCCTGCAACCTCCACACCTCATGGCTGCGACCGGCCCTGAGATACTGAATTGTTATTATTCAAGTTTGAGCGGTCGCTTTGATTTATGTTTCGAGTCACTGGCAGACTGGCTGCAGACTCTATGAGGCATGGCTTCGATTTGTCGAAGCTGGTGATGGGATGTGATTTCCGTCGATCTATCTACGCTCGAATGTGTGGTAATGCGATGTCGGTCCCGGTCATTGGTGCTCTGCTGCTAGCGGCAACTCTGCTGATGTAGCTTAGTTAAGTAGATGTAGATACCATGCCCTGGTCCGTTGCCGACCCTAAGCTTCAAGGTACTGATGACCACTGGCTTGCGCGATGAGTACAAATATCCGCGGTTGCACTTTCGAGCAATAAGTGCTGCTGCGGAGCAGGAAGTGCCAGATGATGACGATGTTCTTTCAGATAATATGTCTGAATCCGACGCTGAAAGCGACGAGTTGTGAGTGTGTTGCTGACGACTGGTGGCCGTGGAATTTAGAAAAAAAACAAGTTCCGATACGACTAGTGTTCCCACACAACCCAGCCCGGACCATCAGAAGCACTGCAACCGACAGTTGAGTTCGCAACTGCCAACCAGTAATCTCGGTACAAAATATTGTGGATCATAGTGCCGTCTGTGCCCCAGTGCTGACCGAGACAGGCCGGAGTCAGATTTGAGCTCTCATGTGGGCTTCCGGTAATCGCGTTTCGGAAATGTGGCTTGCACCGGATTTCGTGGCAGTCTTAAGCATTCCCAGGGCTTGCCAATTCATAACGGTTTACAGATTTAGCACGACAGGTCTTTATAGTGCTTTTAGGTTTGTTGTAGTGTTGTTTGTTTTGTGTGCTGTTTATCTATGGGGTTTACAGAAGTGCTGGTAGGGTGTCTACCGGCTTTCATTTGGCTGCTCCACATGAGGATATGCCGCGTTTATGGAGGCTTCGCGACCTTTAATTCTGGGGTTTTATGTGGTATATGGCGGTGCTGCACAGGGCTTCGTATGAGTAGCCGAGTCAGGTGATCCCCACTTGGACCTCGCCATAGACGTGGACTCCCACTCCCTATCGCCAGCAGTCCTGAAGCTTGGCGGTTTGAGGATTTTTCTTTTTGGCTTTAATTTCCCTACATACCTGGACCCAAAAACCTACCGTTTCAAGATTCATATAGAGAAACCCATACTATCAGCCTTAAAGGGGTCGCTTATTTGAGGTTAACGTGTTACTTCAAATCATTTTTGGAGGTCGAGAGCCGAAGCCTTGAACCGGAAGCCTTAAGCTCGAAACCGGAAGCCCTAAACTGTTTAGGGTTTAGGGGTTCTTAAAGGTTCTTAGGGGTGTAAGCAAGGTGATTTAGGCCTTAAGCCCTAAACCGGAAGCCTTAAACTGTTTAGAGTTGAGGGTTTGGGCCCTAAAGCCTTCAGACCTAAACCTGGAAGTCTGGCTCCCCGCTACAATGAGGAGTTCAGTAAGAGGCCCTAACCTCTACACCCCCAAACCTTACGCGCTAAGAACCTAAGAACCTCTAAGAACCCCTAAACCCCCAAACCCCCTACATAAACCGCTACACCCCCGACCCCAGGAAGAGTGTCAGCGAGACGACCTCACAGTCCAGCGGCTGCCCCGACAGCCCGGAGGAGGTTCCTAGGTACCACCTTGGGTTTAGGGGTTTAGGGTTTGAGGGTTTCGGGTTTTGGGCTTTCGGGCTTTTAGGGTTTAGGGGTTGGGCGTTCAGGGTTTAGGATTTAGGGGTTTTGAGATTTAGGGCCATGGGCTTAATTATAGGGTTTAGGGTTTACCTGGATCCGAAAGTTCAAAGAACCTACCTCTTTTAGGGTTTCCTTATGGAGGTTCTTACACGGTTTAGGGGTTTCGCGTTTAGCTGTTTGGGGTTTCGAGTCTCCCATTACTGGGTTCTTGTTAAGGAGTTAAATAGCAAAAATACTAATAATAACAATAATAATTGTAATAAGAATAATAATCATAATATCAATACTAATTATGCTAATACTTATACTACTACTAAAAATAAGAAAAAGAAGAAGAAGTTCAAGTTAGCAATCCATTTACTTACCATGGATCCTTATGATGGCAACCTAAGCCTCGGTATGTTCCTGACCCAGAACGCAGATGATGGTTTAGGCCCGTTTAGGCTTTAGGACTCAAGATTTTGGGTTCACTGTTTCGGGCCCCTGGTTGACTCTTGGGGGGCTTGTCCTTTTTTGTTTAAGCTGAGAATAGCGTTGAGTTGTCGGCTAGGGCTGGGATAGGACACTACATGCTTTTACCTGGTGGCCTCGAGTTGGTGCATGAAAGCAAGACCCAGGCTTTTCTCATCTTCGATGCTTCAGAGCTGGACATCATGGGCGTGTCCCCAAACTTCCTGGATGCTGGGATTTTGTTTAGAACTTTGGTGAACTGCCAGAACAGGGGTGAAGCGGCTTACTTACAAGAAAGCAAGCTATAAGTCTAGCCCCGTGTAGACAAAACACATGCCAAAACCCGTACAAAGCCCTAAACAACAAGTCTGTGACGAACCGTTAAGAGCTTTTGTACCACGCCATACCGCCTTAAAAGCAACTATCAACCCTACGCATCTATGTACAAGAACGCAGGATGCCGCTGAAGCCTGACCCCCCATAAAACCCGGTAGAATAAAGCCTTTGTAGGCGAAGCTTAGGATGCAACCGGCCTGGATATCTCGGACGATGCGAAGTTCTCCGATTTCTTGGCCGCTCCCAGTGAGCAGAGCTTCATTATCGACTCCCTGCCTTTCTTGGGAATTGTGTTCTCTTAAGGGTTCTTTCAAGGCTGCTTCGGGGATAGTATAGAGGCTTGGGTTGTCCAGGGAGGACCAAAACATGCAGGCGCTAAACCGCCAAGAACAGCCCAGGACTTTCAGAAGAGGCTGAAGAAGTGCATGGCGAAGGGAGGAGCAGAGGAAGCAGATGAAGACCTCGAGAAGGCAGTTTCCGTGCACTTCTGGATGGAGCTACACATGAAGCTGCGAAATGGAGGGGTGACGAAGTCGAAGTGGAAGTTTTATGTTCAGCACCAGCACGAACAGATCATCGTGCAAGGTGTGCTGATAAAGACCGTCGGCCGGCTCAGGTCCCCGAGACCCTCCGGTCGGGGAGGAAGCGGCCAGGTGCGAAGATTCTCCGAGCCTTTGGCCCCACTTCCTGAAAGGATCGGCGCTTCAAAGCCAAAGTCTGTGTATTCCGCCGATATGTGAGAGTGCTGCCTGTGCAGCTGCACTCTAGAGAGCACCCAAACCACAATCCCAAATTGCCATAACTGCGTTTATCTTGGCGTGGTAGCTTAATTATTCTGCCGCTCTGTTTCACCATTTTTCAACGATATCTGGGACTCGTGCATCTCGCGGCATAACCTGCCCAGAAAGCCCAACACCACCCAATTAAACAATACCGACTTTATAATTCGCAATATGAAAGACCCTCCGTAATATGCAGTATATTCCTTTTGTTACAGACTACTTGGACCGGTGATTGGGCTCTCTGGGCACATGGCTTGAATGGGGATCCTTGCTCGAGCAACTCGTGAGGGACCGAGGAACATGCTAGTGAAGGAAGATAAGAGGCAACAACGGCTTCGACTATTGAATGTAAAGGGTCCAAAGTATCTGAAAATCAGGCCTTGGGACTTAGGTTAGCGTCAATATAGGCTAGCACTTGTGACCGTATGCACCTATTCCGTCCTTGGGCCCTCAACCACACTGTAGGAACCTGACCATGAGAATCCTTCGGTAATTGTGAGGGCAGATCCTGAATTTTGCTCTAGGCAGAACCAAAGGTTTCCTACACTAGACTTCTAGATTCTAGTCAGTTTTCCTGAGAGCCTCGACGAGAATCGCAAGGTGCCATCATAAGGTACCGTTCGATCTTGAGCTCCAGGTGACTGAATGCGAAACCATGACTAGGTGCCTAGCCGAGAAGCTTTCTTGTCCGGCCCATAGAAACCTACACTAAAAAACCCTGTAAAGACCGAGGTCCCTCGCTTAAAACCCAAAGAGGGTATATGGAGCGGAGCTCTGCAGCTAAATTCTGCCGTGGTGGACCGTCCCTGAGTGCCGTATACCAAAGACATCAAAACATCTTCGCCCGAAGCCTGCAATGAGGAGCTCCGGGTGCAGATGTACAGGTATTGAGCCTTTGGGGTTTTAGTGGTTTCGGGTCTTGCAGGTCTGGAGTATAGCCACCGAGTAAACCTCGAGACGGAACCTACTACAGCCAACCCAGGCTGGAGCGTGAAGCAGAGCAAGGCCCATCGCGACGAGGTCTCATCACCGACACCTGGTCGTGAACGACGTCGTTTTTTTGGCTTTGGGGCATTTATCGGATCACTGCTTACTTTTTGTAGGCTTGAGGTTTACTTCGGGCTCAGTGTTTAGAGGATTTCAAGTCTGTCTGTAATTAAGGCTAAGAGTTTAAGCGACTGAGGGGAGCAGTGTTCTGTCCTCAGCACAGGCATGCTCCTCCAGCTGCAACAAGTGAGTCTTGTTAAGGCATTTAAGTTGCTGTGACAAGGACTGCACATACATGTCAGCTAAGGATCCCCAGTGGTAACCTAACTCAACCTGCGCAACAAGAGCCAAGTTCAGGATACCCTAAAACCCTAAACCCCTAAACCCAAAACCTATAAACCCCTCTAAACCCCTATAAACCCCAAACCCTAAGAGCCTTGATTTGGATCCCGCATCCCCTTGGATCCTAGGCTCAGGGCACGGAGGGCTTTACCCTTGAGGCTGTTTCAGAAAACCTGACTAACATAAATACTAATCTCAGACACAGTTTGAATACAACAGTATATAATATAGTATATTGCAGTATAGTATAACGTAGTATAATATGATTTAGTATAATATTGGAATATATTCGAACATAAACTAATGTATAGTGATAAAATATAGTATAATACAACAGTTATAAGATATTTTACAACATTATCATATAGCATGACATGTTGTACTTTGATAAGATATACAGGTATAAAGCATGGTATGAGTTCATATGATATAATATGATAAAATATAGCATAACAAAACAAACAAGCTTATAGGGCCCTTGGAGCCGTACCTAGGTTGTCCCTGCAAATAGGATGCAGAAGCAAGCGGGTGGTTTCACCTGGTCCGCAACTTCAACGTCAACCCTGCATTGGCAAGCTCCGCACCAACAAAAGGCATCAAAAAGACCACACAAAATCCTTGCCTCAGCCTGGCCCCAGTGTCTACACCGATCCCCGAAGTGACATGCCCGTGCCGAAGCCAGCCGGCCAAGCGACTCCAAAAATTCCCCCAACTCTCCGCCTGAACCCTAGAGTTCCTGAAACGGCCCTCAACCCGAATCCTGCTAAACCCTCCAAGGAGTACTCACGCCCGGGAAGCTCCTACGTGGTCAGCCGGGAGTTTCCACCACGGCCGGGCTCTCAGCTCTCCTTCTTTGGAGGC